TAAAAAAAACTAAAATGTGCTTCTAAATTTATGGTTCAAACAAATAGTAAAAATTAATTGTCTTAACCATATGTTAAATAAAATGTGAAAAGAAAAAGAAGTTTTTCTATATTATTATTTTTTTTGTTCTGAAAATTCATTAATTGAGAAATTAAACACTCGGATACATTTCTGATGCCATCGAAAAGGCATGGAGAGATTGTTTTGCCAGAGAATCCGCTACTAAATTAGCTTTTCTCGGAATAAAGATAAAAACAATATCAAAAAATTGAGAGAAAAATTTGTGGATATCGTGAAGAATCCCAAAGATTTTCGATTGGTTTTGTCCAAGGTTTAAAACTCGGATTAGTTCGTGTGCATCGGATGCGATGCAGATGGTTTCCAATCCCAATTTGAGGGCATGATTGAGGGCAAAGCGGATTATAAGGGCTTCCGTCATCAGAGGGATTTCACAAAATCCATAGATTTTGATCCCTGTCCCACAAAGATCTTGCGATTCGACTCGATTCTCCAACCCATGTCGGTGGCTAGTAAAAAAAATAAAAGAGTGTGTTTTTTATATTTGTTATTGAGAGTCATCCACATGCAATGTTGATGGTCTAATCGTTTGGTTGAATTATCCCAATTATGTTGGTTTAATATCTGTTTCCTCTGTGCTTAGTCGGTTTACTTGGTCATTCGAATGAATTTACCGATGTACCCCTCGTTTTCGATTTGTTGGTTTAATTTCTACCTTTCCACTGGGTTAATCGGTTGACTTGGTTCTCCCCTATATCGAAATGACTTATTTGCCCTTTCTATGAACCTTCAGTTCAATAGCTTCTATGGGTGTTTACGTAATTACCTTAAAAAATCGTTTATATAGTTCTGAATAATTCCCACCAAAAGCCTCCAACAGATTCGAGAAAACGAAACAGAGCCTTTAGATCTTGTTTTTGGGCAAAAGAACAAGAGCATTGGATCACATGATGCATGTTATCAAGTAACGGTCAAGTCCGGTCTAAACGTTGTGATCTAGATATTGGCCGTTTTGAAACCGGTTTTGATCGGTTTTTTTTTTTTTAATTCAGGTAGTGGAATTACTACTAGGTCAAGAAGGTGGCGTTAGTGAGGAAAAAATCGCATATTGATGATTGGGTTCATCACAACCGTCTGATTTACAAACGATACCAGTGCTTATCTGAGCTTTGTATTTCTTTTTCAAAAAAAGAAGAAGAAGGTGGCGTTATGACTCCAAGAGATTACAAGACAAGAGAAAGATGAATCAACGAACATTATTTTGAAGAATCATTAGACACAGTAGAGTATAAACACCACTAAAGTACTTGAGAGATCTGATCCAATTCGAGAGATTGCTCTAGCTTCTTGAAACTGAACAAAAATTATTGTGTAAAACTATTTTGGTTTCTTTCATTGGAGAATGTGTAATTAAAAAAAAAAAAAAGAATTTGGATATCTACGTAATCACTTTTTCTTAAAATTCCGGTTTAGTACGGAACCATTGTACCGGACATGTTATAAATGGTTGAACCGAAAAAGATTTATTTGGTTTTTTACTTTTGGCCTCCTCGTGAAACCGATTTATTGGAGAGGTTTTTCGTTTTTTTTCTTTTTGTCTCGTCAATATCTTCCTTG